CAACCACCAAACCGTCCATCTCAGAGAACAAAACACCACCAAAATCATTCTCCTGAGCTACAAATCTTCTCCACCATCTCAAAGTCATATGAACGTAATACGCTTCTCCTTGTTCGAAAATGGGAGAATTTCGCCTATATGAGGCTTCCACTCGAGAACAACTCTATTTTCTTCATGAATGTCTTCGCCAGCATGTTCTACCAACAAGTGTATGATATAGACCTCCAATTAACTGCCCATTAGGACGGAGAATTGCCGAGCAAAGTGGAAGAAAAATGGTACACCTAATGATAACGGATGCACACTACAGGATCTGCAAATACCAACACGTCATAGAAGACCAAAAGATAAAGCTACAAAGGATGCTCACATCAGAACATTTGGAAATCGTGACACCAGCTATCGAGATATCATGCAAACGACATAGAGAACAAAGAAGAAACACCTTAAAGAAAAAACTAATCAAGATCTCAAAACCACCCATGGAAGAAAACACAAACAGCCGCGTGATCAATCTGTCAAAACAACCACTAACAAATACGGAAGAACACCTGCTCCAAAAAGGATTAAACTACAATACAAGCGACGCCTCAAAGCTACAGTTCTTCGCAGCACTAGAGTCATCACTCAAAACTTCCGGAATCAGTGAAGAAACACAACAGGAAATAAGGCAAACTGTAGTACCGATAACTCAACAGGTGAAAGAAAACAACCAACTGACTCCACAAGAACAAAAGGCATTGAAAGAACTCAGAAATAGAAAAGATATTATCATAATACCAGCGGACAAGGGACGCACCACAGTAATCATGGACAAAGAAGAATACATCAACAAAGCCGAAGAACTACTCGAAGATAAGAGCACATACAAACTGATGGACACAAATCCCGTCAAAAAATTAGACAATCAAATCTCAAAGACTTTAAACAAGCTAGTCAAAGCAGGAGAAATAACAAAACAAGACCAATGGAGAATGAAATCCAGTGGATCAGTACTCCCTCGTTTCTACGATAGACCCAAAATACACAAACCAAACATCCCACTACGTCCAATAGTAGCACTCCCCGGAACGCCAACATACAATTTGTCAAAAGAAATTTCACGAATACTGAGACATCTAGAAGATTCAGCCAAACATTCCATCAAATCCCCAACACAATTCCTGGACCAAATTAAGGATATTCAAATCAACAACGACGAACTCATGATATCCTTCGACGTAACAGCACTGTTCACCTCAATTGAACCACAGCTAGCAAAAGAAACTATATCCCTGCTACTCAACAACGACATAGATCTCACCAAATACACGACGATTCAAATTAAAAGTATACTGGAACTCATCGATCTATGCCTAACAACATATTTTCAATTCAACAACAAAATCTACGAACAAACAAAAGGGACACCAATGGGATCACCAATATCAGGACTGATCGCAGAAGCAGTGATGCAAAGACTAGAAGTCACGATATTACCAGTGATCAAGCCAAAAATTTGGATTCGCTACGTAGACGACACCTTTGTCATCGTCAAAAAGGATGAACTGGAAAACACATACAAACTGATCAACAACGTTTTCAACGACATCAAGTTTACAATGGAACAGGAGTCAAACAACCAAATAGCATTCTTGGATATACTGATCACTAGAACTGATACAGGAAAACTGGAAACTCAAGTATATAGGAAACCGACCCATACAGATCAAATCCTCAATTACAACAGCAACAACCCAAGAGCTCACAAAATCAACTGCGTACACACATTGTTCAAGAGGGCGAGGACACACTGCAACACACTGGCAGCACGGAAAAATGAAGAGAAATACCTGAGGGACATATTTCAAAAGAATGGCTACCCAATCAACTTCATCAAAAAGCACCAACGGCACACAGCATCAGAACCCAAATCAAGCACAAAAATCAACAAAAGGATCACCCTACCGTACATACAAGGAATATCAGAAACCACAACGAGACTGCTGAAAACCTTCGGGATAGGTGTGGCACACAAACCAACAAAATCATTACAATCAATACTATGCAAACCAAAAGATGAAATAACAAAGGAAAACAAATCAAACATCATCTACAAAATAAATTGTACCAACTGCGACAAACACTACATCGGACAAAGCGGACGCCCCCTCCACCTACGCCTACATGAACATCAATTAGCAATCAAACGCCATGATATCTCTTCACTTATATCAATACACGTGGATAACTACGGACATTCATTCGATTGGGAAAATGTAGAAATCATAGACAGAGGAAACTCCAAAAACACCAGAGAATTTTTAGAAGCTTGGCACTCAGGTCAATCAGCAATCAACAAACATATTGAAATCAATCCAATTTATCAACCAATCAGGAAAATCATGCATCAATATAGGAACAAAAATCAAAACAATGGGAGACACAACCAAAACAAAGAAGTAAACAATGATAAATTTAAGGTCAACAAGAACCAATCAACATCGAGGTGCACAGAACAAGCTGTGAAACACATATGGAGAAATTCGAACACTTCACTTCTATCTGAAGTTTGTGCTGATGATGTCGTTCAGAAGAACGATGAAAGCTCCACGACCAAACCATCCAGCTCAGAGAACAAAACTCCACCAGAATTCTTATGTTTTTATATTTTGATTGTTACTTTCCAGTCTCATATGATTACGATAAACACCTTGGCTTCTATTGATTGACCAATGTTCACAATTGTTTCATTCCTCACTAAACATTTGTTAAATAAATTTGTGTTTTCTTTGCGATAATAATGTTCTTTACACATCTAGGTATAAAGTAGGTCAGTAAAGCTATATATGCATATATATATTGGGTGTGTGAATTGGAAATCTCAATAGCCTTGTTTGTCGACATGGCAGTACAAAAAATCAACACATAATATTCGAGACATATGTGTATATACATCAAATTGTGTGTGATTTATGCATAAAATATAAGCCCGATTCTGTCTATTTTTGTTAACAAGCTGACATACCTTGTATCCAGATATTCGAAATACTGTGTAAAGTACAACTGCATTACACTATAGTGATTGGCCGAAACCAGATTTTGGATATATTTATTTTAAATTTATTTCTAAATATCTTAACAACATATGATTAAACTATAAATCTAAAAAAATATGTATATACGAAAACCAACTGCTTTCGAGTTCCGGTTGAGTGTCATTTTTAGTTTCTTTCAGTTTTTTTTAAACGTTAGTGAAGTGCATCCGACTAGGAATTATGTACTACGCCATAGATCCACGTTTGATTTCAGGATGACGCTGATAAGTTTATGGCAATGTGAATAACCATAAATGTGGAATCTGATATTAATTGTGAACAAGCTATGTAATTCAAAGTTGTACACCGTTCTTAGTTGGCTAATACATTTCTTAAAACACGTAATCAGTTCCCTAATCTTAATATTAAATTGTATTTACTGAAAGAACTTTTCCATATTGCTTCTAAATTATCTATCCTTTTGATCTTTTTATATAACCTTGGATAGATTTCAAAATGGTTTTCATTTTATGTTTATGTGTACGTGTATATCACCATTAAAGAACTGATGAAGCATCATTTGCTACCGCAAAGTTTTACTGATCGTATACAAGGGTCTTTAGGCATATACTTCCCTTCCAGTAGTCAGTATTGGTAATTGCTTTAAGCAAAATGTTTATTTGTTTAATTATCAGAATAAGCGCTGAAGCATTTCAACGCTAAACCTTTTAGAAGTAGCATTGTTTTAAGGTATTAACGAATAACAGACCAAGCACTGGGAACCGTTTACCTTATTGTATGAAGTCATTGTCATGCTATCGACCGTGAATTCAGTTATCGAATGAACATACAGACATGTTTAAGCATTGTATAAATACGACCAGTTGTAAGAATTGAACAATAAATGTGCAAATTACGTCAATGCTTCTGTTGTGTCTTGAGACGCTCACGTGCTAAGCTACCAACATCGAGGTGCACAGAACAAGCTGTGAAACACATATGGAGAAATTCGAACACTTCGCTTCTATCTGAAGTTTGTGCTGATGATGTCGTTCAGAAGAACGATGAAAGCTCCACGACCAAACCATCCAGCTCAGAGAACAAAACACCACCAAAATACAATCACTCACTGGATTGCCCACACACACACACTCAATCAACCAATCCATCACTCGTCACATTGCCAGCACACAAACACACCGAATCACTACGCATTTCCCATGCCATTTCACATCCACATGGAAATCTCCAACATCACTCACGCAATCACACGTGCACACGTGTCTCCCACAGACACACATGAGAGTGGACGATTCGCACACACACGATCGATGCCCACCACAAGCCTGTTAGTGTCAAACACATCGAGACAATCTCCCACTCTCACTCATGCACACATCACACCATTCATACTAGAACTTACACTTTATCATGCAGATTTTCCGTCCTGTGTTACTTTTCTTCCGTTTGCCGCTCTTTTCCTTTAGAACATGTTTTTTTAATATTTTTGTTGTTTTTTGCACGAGTTTTTTTTGTTTGTCATCTTTGTTTACTTTTTTAAAGCAATTTCGTCTGGTATCGATTATTATGATGAAGACAGAATAAATTCCATTACTGCTACTTCTCCATTCTTGAAAATGCCTCGTCAAACAACAAGACTACCAAAGAAGATATCATCTTCTAGGTCCACTTCAATCGTGAAAAAATCTGTTTCTTCTAACTCATCTCCCACGTTTAATACTTCAGACATACTTCGTAAGTCTGATAAAAATTTCTTCCTAACCTGTACTTTCAATTATTAATTATTATATATTTTTCTATTATTTAAATTGAACGATTTTGTTAAATATCTCAAGTCATATGGTTTTTTATTGTGTTACTTACTTACTTTCGCCTGTGACTCCTAATAGAGCACAGGCCGCTGACCAGCTTTCTCCAACTCACTCTGTCCTGGGACTTCTTTTCTAGTTTTATCTGATTGTTATTCATTCTTCTCATGTCTGTCTGTCACCGTTTCTAGGCGTAATGTGTTGTTTGGTCTCCCTTTCTTCATTTGGCCATGAGGATTCCATGTGAAGGGTTGCCTTGTGACGCAGTTGGGCGCTTTCCTCAATGTTTGTCCTATCCACTTTCAGCACTTCTTCCTGATTTCTTCCTCCGGTGGGATCTGGTCGGTTCTCGCCAACAGTAGGTTGTTGTTGATAGTGTTTGGCCAATGGATCCGAATTATTTTACGCAAGCAACTGTTAATAAACACTTATAACTTGTGGATGTTGGCTTTCGTAGTTGTCGAAGTTTCCGACATATTCAGTAGGACTGTTTTGACATTTGTATTGAAAATTCTGACCTTGGTGTTGGTTGCAATTTGTTTTGGGTTTCAGATGTTCTTTAGTTGTGAATATGCTGTTCTTGCTTTGCCGATCCGCGCCTCCTTTTATTGTGTAGTCTATAAAATTTTGTTGTTGATATGACTGATGATGTCATATATTTTTGTCTATTTTTCAGGTATTCTACAATAATATGTTAATTGTATAATAAGACTAGTCACGTAATATTAAAACAAGAATTGACCACCCAGAGTAGAGTACTAGAATATAGACTAGATAATATTTTATTTGAATTCCCGCGTGCGGGATGGTGAATGCGCACTGCTCAGTAATGCCATACTAGGACGAAACGGCTGTCTAGTGCTTCCAGGTTTTCTTTGATGGTTTAGCTTTAACAGACTAATGGATTCAACAATTAAAATTACTACAAACTCCACAACACCCCGCCATTCTGATAATATTTTATTCAACACAGTTACAATCAGTCATTCCTAAGCAATGCTGAGTAGATATTAATGACAGGAGGGAAAATCACATATTTAATAGTCAATTAGGCTAGCTACCTGTTTGATTACGCTCGATGACTAATCAATAATGCAATCTTTCAGGTCATTAATCCCAACAACAACAACAGAAACAAAATAATTCTTGTTAAGTCTAATTTCTTTTTCACTGTGTATTTTAGCCAAACCCAATGAAGGTGAATATTATGAAGATGATGAACAACAAACTACTAATACTAATACTACTACTTCTGCTATTACAATTACTACTGTCAAACCGAAACGAACTGCTCAAACAGAAAAAATATCAGAACAAAAATCATCTAATCAATTAAAGCCAATGTTGAAAAAAACTATTGTATACAAACAAGCACCATCATTAAATTCATCAGATGAATATTGTAAGTTCAATCATTAATATTAAATTAACTAATTTGTAATTAAGAATATACTTATAATCCTATTGAGCTAATTGACCTAAGTTAGTTAACCGCATTGAACACATGAAGTAAATAACAATCTTTTTTTAGTTTATTCATTATAACATATTAAATTTCAATCGTTTAAAGATCCCCATCATATTAAAAGACTAATATTCTAAATGAAGAATATTCTTTACGATAAATTCTCTTCAGGTTCTACAATTCATATGTATCCAAATGAATAATCTGAAAAATGGCAAGGTTAAGGGTAAAGTATGTCGTTTAAAGTCAAAGCATGTGAATTTGAGATTGTTAAACAGAATACAATAAAATTGTTAATGTTGATATGATTCATAACAGAATGTTAACTTGAATCTATGTATATGTGGGGTGAAATTTAAGATTCATGATCCGAATAAATGTGGGTCAGATAGGGTGAGGAACATAATATTGCAATTACAATCCGGTCAAATGTTTAGTCAAAAGTTATATTGTGCGAAAATTAGTAGGACGTAGTAAGAAGGGATAAATGCGAAGTGAATGAATCATGTATAGGGGAGATTAATAATGACGTTTAACCAGTAATAATAATAATAATAATAATAATAATAATAATAATAATAATAATACAAAGGTTGGTGAATAAAGATAACAGCGACAATTGCAATTGACTACGAAAGTGTTAGGTATGCAGAGGAATATACCAATAATTATCATGTCAAGTCTAATGGTGTCCTTGGACGTTAAATGTACACTCCCTATTGGTCGATATTTATTTCACTTGTTAAGTATTGTGTAAATGTTGTTTTCTATTTTATGGTACGATGTGGTCTGGTTGATTAGTATATAAACAGAGTGTGTTTGAAATATAGTGATTCATATCTCAGAGACTGTGACTTGCGTTCTGGACTCAACTGGCTGGGATAGACAGCGAAGCAGGGCCAATCGGGACTCTAGGTCGTTCATTACGTGTTTTACGTGTCACTAATCCGATCGATAAAACGCTGCGCATCTAACCTGCAGTCCACCCGTTACAACAGAAAGCTCGTAGTCAAGTTAGTTCATTCAATAACTAAGATTATTATTAATTAATTGGCCTTGATATTGGTCAGGGGAGGATGAGTGATTGAAGATATTTCTCCTTTACACATAGCTCTGGTTTCTTCATCCGGATGGCTAATGCTTTAGCTGTTTGAACGACTTTAAGTCTGACAAGTTTTGACAAAAATTTGCTGACCTTATAAATAATTGAAAAATATTGGTTTATACTGGCAGTATAACCAGTTTGTACTAAATGGACCAATATCTAGCTGTTCACTTTCTTCATCAAACGTTTGTTTAGCCACACTGGGAGGTGTTCACAAGCACGAAAATGTAAATTCCTAGAACTTCGATCAATATAACTTGCTCATATCAACATTAAAAATTTTATTGTATTTTGTTTAACAATCCTAAATTTGTATATATTAAATTCCACTCATCATTTTGCATCACGGATTGTTGTATTAAAAAACAAATTTGAAATATCATCAAACTTTTAGTTTTATTAAAATTAGCTACTGAATTCAATTAACAGTAGTATAGAGCATTTAAAATTTGACAAGTAACTTATATTGGGTAACTTATCAATGAGTTTCACGTTTAGATTCCTTTTCTTTTCTGTTTTCTTTCTTTTCCAGAAAGTCATTTTAGAAATTTTTATTGTTTTTTTCTTTTTATTCATTTTACTACTCATTTTAGATGATGATGAAATTACAGAAACTACATGGGTTATTAAATTAGGTGATAAAAATGTAACCGATAAAGATATGCTTGATTTTATTAATAGTCAAATTAATGGTGGAACATTGTTACAAAATAATTCAACAAAACTCAATACTACCTCCTCAGGTAAATGTATATATGTTGATAATTTCAACTGCAATAAATATATTCGATATATATATCATTCATTCATTCATAAAACCCTGATGTATGCCGTCTCCGTGATCTAGAGATTAAAGGGTTCACGATCGAGATCGAAGCTTCTGGGTTCTCGAGTCCCACGTATAGGATCGTGGATATACACTACTAAAGAATCCCATATTAGGATGAAACGATCATCTAATGCTTCCACGTTTTCACCAGTGATCTAGTTTAGATAGAATAATAATCCATTTTTCAATCAATGATATGTATTTTATTATATATTCACTTATAATTTGTCTAATATCTGATGGATATATTTTTGTCATTATATCATCTCATATTTATTATTTCTAGATAAGAATAATAGAGAAACTGAAACATCATGGTTTTCAGTACCTGAAACAAAAAATATGAATGAAAAATGGATTTCTCAATTCCTTGATAATGATAATGATATAGATATATCAGGAAAAAATGGATATGGAATTGCCCCAAGCAATACAACACGTAGGTTGTTTGTTTTGAAATATTATTATCTTTTAATGATCAATTTTCAAATTAATTGACATTGAATTTAACATTGAATATTAAACATTTTAAAATTAGGATATAATAATATAAAGAATAATAATAATAATAAACCATTCAGGGTCGTTCATTAGTCATTGATAACAGTGAAATAGATTACATTGAACATAATAAATAAGATGTAAAACATTGATAATGGGATAATAAATGAAGTAAAGAACTAATAATAATTTCAATGATTAAGATCATGAATCAGTTGAAGCTGGATCATCATGGACGAAACGGCCATTCAGTGCTCCTAGGTTTACCATAGTGATCTAGCTTCAATTCATTCATGATTTCAACTGAGATAATGATATTGTATTATATAATGTAAACTAATATTTATCTAGTAAACTTTAATGTTAAACTTACTGTTGGGACCCGAGAAACATAATGAATGGTAATTTTGGAATCCTTTTATAGACCAAACACTAAACGTATATTTCTATTGTATATTTATTAAATAACTAAACTATTTCTATTCATGTTCCTCTTACTATAAGATTTATTTTGACCTATGAACCATTATTATACGTTTTACCATTCTTGAGTTATACCCAGTATATTGATTACTACCTCCCTCATTCACAGCCACATCTGGTTAATTCTTGCACAAATGTTGTTTCATATTTTATTGGTACATTGTGCTCGGTTTGATTAGTATATAAACTCAGTATGCTTGAAATAGAATGATTCATATCTCAGAAGCTGAGACTTGTGTTCTGGACTCAACTGTCTAGGCTAGACAGGGAAGCAGGACCAATCAGGACTCTAGGTTGTTCTCACGTGTTTTACGCGTCTTTGGTCCGATCGATAATTCACTGCCGTCTAATCTGCAGTCACAGTTATAACCCTAGTAAACTTTCATGTTAAACTTATTCATAATATACAAGATTATACATATATATGGTTAATAATTTTGTTTATTTATTATATTTTATTATTTAGGTCAATTAGTATCTAAAAGTTTTTGGATTTCTGATGATTTTGAAAAAGAATTAAAAGAAATGGACTTTTTAGGAATGTTACGTAATTCAACTGAATTAAATGATATTATCAATAAAAAATTGGATTTCTCTTCATCATTTAGCCGTAAGTTATCCATAGATTATTTGAATGTTATAGTCGATAAATTAGTGTCTTTTTTATCTGACTTTAATAAATTGTATTCCATTGACTGAGTATTGAATGCAGGTTACATCTCCTAGTAGAATTGTGGGTTTACTCGAGAGTATTCCAAAGGCTTAACATCAGTTATAGAGATAGTTTATTGTTAAAGATTGGTAAAATGTACAAGCGTATAGGCAGCAAGCATACAGGGAAAATCAAGTGTGTGTGTGTGTGTTAAAAAATTCATATATAATATTTATGAGTGTTAATCAAGTATGGATAAATTATTGATTATCTGTATGTTACAACCAATGGAAGAATACATTGAAATGTGCTCAATCAGACTCACGCAGAAAATTGCTTGGTGGATCAACTGTCTAATTTACAGTATTCAGTTAAATAATACAGTAGTTGAATGAGTTAACTACAATAGTTTACTTAACTTTCTTTCAATATATCACTTTTTTAAATGAATAAAAACAAACTACTTAATCTTAAATAAGTAGGTTCATAAGTGGAAATAATATACAGCATAGCCATCATAAACTTTGAATAAAAGCTATTCACATTGGATGATATGAACTAACTTCATTTTGATACTATCTAACTGAAATAAATTCACAGAAACCTGCAGAGCTGAACTATCGATTAAATACTATATATTAGAAAAGAGTATCTACAATCTTAAAGGAACCGACAATTCCAGTGAAATTTAAACTACCATTTACTAAAATCATAATTGAAAAACATTATCATGAAACTAATCCGATCATTCCTGATTGATTTCATTCAAACTTTAAAACTTATGGGTGAGTGATGGTATCATACAGCACTACTACAATACCATTTGTTAGGTATCTACGGCAATGCAATCAAAGAACCGTGCTTGCTAAAATGAATACTTTAGTTATGTAATAACAAAATACAATTAACTAATGTGGCTACTAATAGCTGTGTCGAAACTGCAGTAGTAGATAACATCAAAATGAAGGCAAAGAACACAAAATACGATAATTGTTATAGTAAAACAAATATTCATTGACTGTAAAATAAAATCAGAAAAAACCATTAGAAATGATAAGAAGATTCCGTTACAATGATGAGAAGGTCTGCATAAATGATTGAAAATACGAAACAATAACGGATTCATTAGTATAGAGTTGTCGAGATTATTAAGTTATTGATTGAGATCTTGAACGGACTGATGTTAGACCACCATTGAAAACCTGGAAGCACTGGACGGCCTTTTCGTACTAACATGGGCCTCTTCTGCAGTGCGCATCAACAACCCTATACTGATAATTACCATGTACTCACTAGTGACTAACTTCCAGAGGGAATTCTCGGAGTTCTAGCGAGAAGCCGTGACCAGTGGAGCTAATCCGTGTTGGGTAGAGAGAGGTATCTACTTCAGTACAATGGAAGATGGTGGATTGATGTTCGACATTAACACCGTTAGATGCCGGCTCAGTGGTCAAGTAGGTTATGCTTTTACGTGCGAGGCTAAAGGCCCCGGGTTCGAATCCCAAGAGCGGGATCTCGGGTGAGCACTGTTAAGGACAAAACGGTCGTCCAGTGCTCCTAGGTTTCCAATGGCTGTCCAACATCAATTACTTCGAGATCTCAATCAATAACAGATTTACTCAATATACTTTGTGAATAGTTTTTGATTACTGAATATTTATAAGTAGTATAAAATAAAACACAAAAGATAATCGAGTAATACTGTCGGAACACATCATATAGCTATTCATTTCTCCATTTTTTAACCAAGAAATTGTGAAAAAAATTAGTTAAATCTTGGATAAATTTTTCACCAGAATAAAAACTATTTTCTTCTATTTTTCAGTCAATGACAATTCAACTACAAATAATCAAATAAATTTAGAACTTTCAATCAATAAGGTGTAGAACATTTATGAAACTGTGTTTTTCTTTCTCTTTCCCGTTTTCTTCTTAATTATGTACGATTTAAAATGTTAGTAAACTTTCTTTTGTGATTACATTGTATTTGTTTCTGAATTTATAACAAAAAAAAGTGCGGTCAAAAGTTGTAGGGAAGAATTTGTTTACAGATTAAAATAAATGAAGATTTAATGGGGGATAACTAATTTATTGTTTAGCGTATAATTACAGAGTAGTTACGTCCTTGATCTGCTTACCCAATTTTAGTACTGAGGATAACTTGTCTAATGTAGATTATGAACATGACGTGATAGGCTGACTGACTTAACTTTAAGGCTAGTATGCGTGAGTTCGAAGTGAAATTAACTGTTTGTGGTGAGAGAAGACAAGTCAACTGGAACACTACATAATTTATTCTCAATGCCGATCTCGTTCCCGATTTTCCGATCAGTGTAAATAGATGACTAACCCGATCATAACGTACAATAATTAGGAAAATACAATTATGTCCGGAACTGAAGATTAGTGTAGAAAATAGAGTACAAGAGGTATTTCCTGGAGTTCTAGTGAGAAGCAGTGACCAGTGGATTTCAACCGGGTCTGTTGTGAGACAGGAAATCATTGATGACAATAGTTTATATGTCGCTCAATTTCATGTATTAGTTGAAGTTATAAATTAACACCATTGAATGCCGGCCAGCTCAGTTGTCTTGAGGTTAAGCGTTCGCGCGACACTGATAGGTCCTCTGCTCGAACCCCGCTAGGTGGGATCGTGAGTACGCATTTCTGAGGAGTCCCACAATAGGACGAAACGACCGTCGAGTGCTTACAGGTTTTCTATGGCGGTCTAACTTCAATGATTTCAACTATTGAAATAATTAAATCACTAGAAGAAGTGCTATTAAATAAGTTTATTTTAAGCAAGCTTATCCTTCAGCCAAGTGATCAATACAAACATGTTTCAAGAGAAAATAAGTTTTTAAAGGTTTGAAACTTTGTAAAAAAAACACGATATTCCATTGATTCATTAAAAACAATGAAGACGGTCCAACGAAAGAAAACGTTCTTTTGGACGATATCATTCAATGAAGCTGTTCAATCACATTTATAGGTAGTTTTTTACACGTAGTCCATAGTAAAACAGGGTTTTTTACAAGATTATCAAAGACAACCAAACTTATTCACGTGGACGTCAATCAAAATAAAGTGGTGTTTCATAATATAATTCAGATCACCAAAAATCTTCGAGTATTTCAAGTGAATGAACGTGAGTTGGTTGAAGTTAGACATTAACACCGTTGGATGCCGGCCAGCTCAGTGGCCTAGGGGTTAAATATTCACACGTGAGACCGAAGATCCTGGGTTTCAGTCACGCGTGTAGGACCATGGATGAGCACTGGTGAGGAGTCCCATACTAGTACGAAACGGTCGTCCAGTGTTTTCAGGTTTTCTATAGTGGTCTAACTGAAATTGACTGATGAAGTCAACTATTAAATAGATGAGTGTCATTTCAATGTTATCAAAATTTTAAAGTACTGAATAAAAAAACGTAATATCTAACAAAGTAATTAAAAATCATGATGAGCCTACATTACATAATAGTTTTGGAAGTAATGAAAAGTAATAATCCATGGAATAAAAGATTAAGATAACTGTCTACCTAATAAAGAAGAATGTAATAATTAGCAATAATAGTTCTTAAAATTCGAAGGGGTGCCAAGACCATGGGAGAATAAGGGATTGAACGTGACTATATATATATAACACATTCATTCTTACATAACAATAGTTCTATTCCACAAGCGAAGCAAACAGTATTCACAGATTCAATGAAGCCAGAATATGTACAATCAACAGAACGTGAATAAATATGGTGAGCAGTTCATGATGAAAGTTGAAAGAAAAGTCGACAATGATTACTTAAGAATCATTAATAACTCGATAAGACTCCACTTTCTCTAACGCTTATTTTTGTGTAATCTACTTTACAATGGCTCAGAAAATTAGAAAATGTGAAGATGTTCTAGAGACAAAGTTCCTTGATTTAGTTTTCTGAATCAAATGTTGTTTTTCTTTTATCATTACTGATGATGTATTAATGAACTTTTGAATAGTTGTTATTCTTATCTTTATCATAGTTTCTTGGAGATGTATAATGAGAATCTTAACGATTAACTGTTTGTGACAATTAGAAATAACTAAGTGTTCATTTTATAAGTACCCGTTTTGTTATAAGAACTTGTAAGAGTTTAAAGCAATTCACTGTGACAGATAAATACATACATCTTTAGAGGTTCATACTGTTACAAATGTAATTAACTACTTATATTGTAATTGGATAATTGAGCAAACAAATGTTTAATGATAGGTATGATAAACTAAAGAACTAAATCAGTTTACAAGTTTTGAGAAAACGTTACGACGTATATTCAGCTGAATACTACGAAGGTTTGTTTTGGAAAAGAATACCAAGTTCCACCAAGCTTTCAAGGGATCTGAGACGCTATGCCTTCTTCCCTTGTAGTATGCTTTTACAAAATAAAAATGGAAAGATTGCGTTTAGTTATTATGTTTATACTTAAATAATCAATCAGATGAATAATCGTGGTAGTTGTCAATAGTAAACACCGTTATCGTCAACTTGTAAATTGTTCGTCCATATATCTTTCCGTATACAGCAGTTTGTTAAGTTGTTCACTGGTAAAGACTTGAATATTAGGAAGGTTTTAACCCTCTTAATTAGCTGACAGAAGTCATAAGTTGCATATGGTGAGATTATAATTTATGGACGACTTCTGAGATAATCTCAAGTGACCTTGAGAAGTTTTAGTCAATCAGAAAACAGTCTTGGTGGAGTTTTGTTCTCTGAGCTGGATCACCTGAGAAAACAGTCTGTATAGAGTAAGAATATATTATACAAAACTAAAAAATTGCAGTGGATACACTTCTTTAACATGGTTTAGAAACTTTTAAAGGTTAAAAAGAGGCTTTGCAGTTCTGAAATAGTAATCCGTATGATACAGGATTTCATCCATGTGACTACAAAAAGTCAACCTCTGGAGCCTTGATAAGATTTCAAAATTCTTTTAGCATCGACCACATTGCTTCTATATTATTTGTGTACTCCAGTGGTGGCATTTACAAAATGCTGCTTGCGGACGACGACACGATGCACGTAACCGAGTCTATGTAAGCATCTATATGCTCATTTATCATCCAAGTATATTGTAGTCCCAAGCGGCAAATACTCTTGTATAATTAGTATTATAGTTGTAGCTTATCGATTTATACTTGCTGGAAATGTTCTTTTAGAGGTGGTCTTTCGTATATACCAAGGACCTGTTAAATATATTTATGGAAATACTACTTACTTAGTCTTCTTTAACACATCGTCCTCTATTGAATTCACGTTTTCTAACGACAATTTCATCTATTTCTACAAGTCTCCTAACTCCTCCAAAAAACTCATACAAGCTTGTCATTTTTATTGTACATATATCTCCACAATACTGCTACCACTGAAATGAGAAAGCTTAAGTGACATCTGCAATGGTTGCAGTCATTGTTACTGGTGCTTTTACTACCCAGTTTGCAACAATTACCATAATCTGTCTTAGTATCAACCGGGACCGAGCAAAAAAATATTTCCGTCCTAGCAGACTTTTTCCTCCAACATATACTACATCAAAATACAATATCATCACGATATTCTACACAAGGCCAAGGAGCCATTTGAATACCGCAATCACAAATAAAGGAACTTCTTAGTAATTCCATATTTTTTAGCCGCTCAATTAAAAAATCCGCGAAACTATAATTTATAGATGAGCCAGTCAGAGGCTCTTGAGCGATCTCAAAGTCGTGGCACCTATTATAGTATCCAGTGCTGATTGGTTTACAGCTGATTGTAAAGAAGATATTCTGGCGACACCGTAATTTATGGACGACCTTTGAATGAATCTTAAGTGACCTTGATAAATATTAGCTAATCAGCAAACAGTAAGTATAAAGTAAAAATATATTATACAAAACCAAAGAAATAAAGTGGATACACTTCTTATACGTGATTCGAAAACTTGTCAAGGTTAGAAAGAGGTTCACAGGTTCTAAAATCGTTATGCATGCAGTAGAGGAAATCATCCATATGGCTACAGAATAGTCGGTCTCTGGAGTCATGATAAAGTCTCAGAAACTCTTTCAGCCCCGACCACATCGCTTCAATATTGTTTGTGTGCACTCCGTTTGTTGAGTACACAAAGTGCCACTTGTAGATAACGACAACATGCATATAACCAAGCCTATGTAGGGGTCTGTACGCTTTCCAATCATCCGTATATATTGTAGTACCTGGCTGCAGCCAGTGTTACTGGTGCTTTTATTATCCAGTTCGCAATAGTTATCATAATTTGCCTTAGTTAGGAATTATATACAGGGTTTTCATCACGAACTGACATCAGCTATAACGCCAGAAATCTATTTAGCCAAATGGATGAAAGGCTTTCGCGCCAAAATCGGAGATCTGTTATCTCTTATCTTCATCCACAAATTATAGTTTCACCGTTTTACTTGTTATAGCCGATCAATTATCACGCTTTGTACAAAATTCCCTATGAACTGATCGTACGTTAGCATTAAGCATTGAAGTTGGCACCTTGACCTTGAGATCTCTCAAACGCTTCTGATTGGCACGTCCACAAATTCGAGTCCCGCTATATTCATCGTATTACTTAGGAATAATATGACACTTAGAGTGATGTAATATACAGTTGCTGTATGAGTTTAGACATTGGACAGAAAAGACTATCAATGTCAACTAATACTCATGTAATTTTTATTGCTCAGATAACTAACATATTAAAAATGATGAGAATAACTCATGGTTACACAATAGAAAATTAAAGAATATTCATAAATAGTTTAACGCAGAATTGCCTCAACCTTCGTTAATTAAACAACTATCAGACATCCTTGTTCATCAACAACTTTTGGAGTGGTAAATC